GAAGGAAGGAAGGAAGAAAGAAAGAAAGAAGGAAAGAAAGAAAGAAAGAAAAGAAAGAAGGAAGGAAGGAAGGAAGGAAGGAAGGAAGGAAGGAAGGAAGGAAGGAAGGAAGGAGGGAAGGGAGGGAAGGAAGGGAGAAAGGAAAACAAAGTGCAGCACAGAGAGATTTGAAATTTGCCGTTAAGTGGCCTGAATGGAATTCACACACCTTTCTCTGACTCCAGGCTTCCAGTCTCAGAGCTGCACCTTGCTGCCTGGAGGGGTAGAAAGCCACTTAGCACCATACTGCTTCAGCACCTTTCAGGGTCTGCCCTCAAAGATCTCGCCCTGAAGGGGCGCAGTGGCTCATGCTTGTAATCCCAGCACTTTGGGAGGCTGAGGCGGGCGGATCACAAGGTCAGGAGATTGAGACCATCCTGGCCAACATAATGAAATCCCCTCTCTACTAAAATACAAAGAATTAGCCAGGTGTGGTGGCGCGCACCTGTAATCTCAGCTACTTGGGAGGCTGAGGCAGAGAAATCACTTGAACCCCAGGCGGCGGAGGTTACAGTGAACTGAGATCACGCCACTGCACTCCAGCTGGGCAACAGAGCAAGACCCTGTCTCAAAAAAAAAAAAAAAAAATCTCATCCTTTTCCACCAGATATCAACATTAACGTTCAAGTATTGTTTAATTGCATTGGCTCTAACTTTTATTTCCAAATTTCTACCTATATCCTATGGCTTAGTTTTCTTAGATTAGTAAGTATGTTGCTTTGCCCTATTCCTACCAATCAGATGTTTTTAAGCTTCTTTTGAATTCCACCTGGCCTCTTCCTGGTTAATGCATTATCACAGTCCCCTGAGGCACCCCCAGGGCTTTTTTATTGCAAGTGAATGCTATTGCATCTATTAGCCTAGTGAACAAAGTTGTCTCTTTTCCAAAATTAGCTAAGATTATGGAAGAGAGGGGGAAGGGAAGGGAAGGAAATGCCATTTATTGAGCGCCCATTATTATGTGACTGATGGACATGATGCTGGGAGCTTTGTACAGACAATCAGTGATGAACACCTTCAGGATGTCCGGCGGGGCAGGCACTTCTCTTACATTCCCCTTTGCTGCCCTGCCACAAAGACACTGTCACAGGCCTAATCTCCTTCAACCCTTTCCTTGACCCTATGAGGTCAACATGATCTCCAATTACAGGTAAAAGAACTGCAGCTCTGAAAGATTTGATAACTTTTCCCGGAATAAAGAACTGGGAGGTGGCAGATCTGGGACCTAGGTACATTATTCCACATCTCCGCATAAAGAGGAGCCAACTTCCTGGCCTGGCCTGGCTTCTTGAAGGTAGCTCTGACACCTCAGTCTCTAGAGATAGAACTGTCTTTCTCTGAAGTTCAATCTGGCTGCTGAGCCTCCAGGATTGAGGCCCCACAGTCTGCGCACTGGACCAAGAGCAGAGGTTCTGAAATTCTAAATTGTTTAGAGTTCCGGGAGAGTGAAGGAAGAGAAGCAAAGTGTCCGGAGGTCAGCAAAAGCTCAGCCATGGGTCTTGAATGCCTCCTGTGATAAATTTATTTAGCCAAGGGGGAAAAAACGGCATCTGTGCACAATCAGATTACCAAATCTGTTACTTTCTAAATGATTAGTTCCTTGCAAATGCCATAGGAAAAACCCTCCATGTAAGAAGTGGCTAATATCTCAGCACTATGTTCCTTAAAATATGCATTCATTACGCAGTGTGGTCTCTCTTACGTATTAAAATACCTATGTATTTGTGCATATTTTTCATACCAAAGGGAGGCACACCATACACAGTGGTTACTCTTGAGAGGGGATAAGAAAAATTTAACTTTTATTTATAGATTTTTATATTTTAAATATAAAGATTTATATTTTAATCTTTATATTTATAGATTATTTAAATATTTCTATCAAGCAATCTCGAATTTTATAATTTTAATCTTTTTTAGAATGCACTAATGTAGTACTGGGAAATCTCATGTTTGTGTTTCCATGTCTGTCTTGGGTTTTGTTCATCTTAGGAGAACCAGTTCAGATAGCGCTGACTCTGGACGTTGCAAGTATCTCCAGCATTTCAGAGAGTAACATGGTAAGTGTTGTTCCTTTGTACTCCACCCAAGGAGTCCCTGTCCATGTGTTTAATGCGGATACCCTTTCTAGCTACTCAAAAAGAAAAAAAAAAAAAGAATGGCTCATGGCCCTCCTCTATTTAGAATGGCAGAAGCTGGAGTGTTATCTCCAAACTCAAGACAACAAAAGACTCTTGTAGAACAGATTTTCTGAGTATCAGGGAGAAGATCCATTCAAGGGCCAGGAGGAGAGAAACCAGGGAATCAAGTGGGTACACTTGGTGATGGATAAAATTTGGGGAAAGGAGTAAAAGTGTAGTAAGCAAGGCTGTAGATCACATGGTCTTTTATAGTTGGGGAGACAACCTGAGGAAAACTGACAGCAGACTGCTGCAATGACCCTCTCCCTTAAGAGAACACATTCAATGGCCAGGCGTGGTGGTTCATGTCTATAATCCCAAAACTTTGAGAAGCCAAGGCAGGTGGATCACCTGAGGTTGGGAGTTCGAGACCAGCCTGACCAATATGGAGACACCCCATCTCTACTAAAAATACAAAATTAGCCAGGCTTGGTGGTGCATGCCTGTAATCCCAGCTGCTTGGGAGGCTGAGGCAGGAGAATCACTTGAACTGGGAGGCAGAGGTTGCAATGAGCTGAGATTGTGCCAATGCACTCCAGCCTCGATGACAAGAGTAAAACTCTGTCTCAAAAAAAAAAAAAAAAAGAAAAGAAAAGAACCATACACACACACATTCAAGATAAGGGCAAACTAAAGGCAGCTTGCCAAGTGGCATGCTGTGCATTCCAGATAAACTGTGGACATCCTAAGCATTTAGCCCACCAAGAACTTCAGCAATTTGGTGGAGCCTTGGTGATCTACTGCAATGTGAGTTGTCATGCCAAGTAAGTTAAAGTCTCAAACATGGGATTCCTTTTGGCAGTGGGAGCTATTATCTAGAATAAATAAGGCAATTTGTTCTATTATTGCAATATGCCACTACCCCAAGACTGGGATAACTGGGGTAACTTACCCAGCAGATGACTTCTTACCAGTTACCCCAATCTTGAGTGGTGGCATATTGCAATAAGAGTAGCAACTTTATTCACCAATGTCTGTGTACTCTTGCTCTAAGTGGAGGTTGGGGCGGAGTAAAGCTTGACCACTTTTCTCCTATTTGGTGGGGTTTTCTCACCCTCCACCCCTATCCATTTCCATACCCGGCCTCCCCTTCCCAGGACTACACAGCCACCATATACCTCCGACAGCGCTGGACGGACCAGCGGCTGCTGTTTGAAGGCAACAAGAGCTTCACTCTGGATGCTCGCCTCGTGGAGTTCCTCTGGGTGCCAGACACTTACATTGTGGAGTCCAAGAAGTCCTTTCTCCATGAAGTCACTGTGGGAAACAGGCTTATCCGCCTCTTCTCCAATGGCACGGTCCTTTATGCCCTCAGGTATGCAGACACCTGTGACCTCAGGTGGGGAGGGCAGCAGCTGGGAGAAAACGTGGAGATGTGTCTTGGATACTTGTGACCAGAACTCAAAGAGCCACTGTGAGGTTCTATGCCTTCTTAGATCTTTGACCCCATAATAGAAGGTCCCTCTCTCAGTTCGGCATCTACCGAATCCCTTCTCTGTGCCCAGCCCCATGCTGGACACAGGATAGAGCTGAATAAGACATTGCCTTGTCCTCAAGGACGTGGACCTGGAAACAAAGGAAGTCCCTAGTTCTGGGACCCAGGTTGGGGAGTAGGTGAGTGGTTTAGGGGTGATGTTAGAGGATGCTTTCACAGGATTCTGAGCTGAGTCTTAAAGGATAAAGGGAAGTTAGCAAGGGAAGAAGTAAAAGCAATGGCAAGAGCCAACAGAGAGGTGCGTGCAAGGAATTTTCCTTTCGTGGGGCTCAGTGGAGCTGCAGCAGCTCTTGAACACAGCTCTACTTGTCTGAGTCATGTCTGTACAGAAAACCAAGGTGCAGCGCCCCAGAGCCTCTGCCACCTGCAGCCATGGGCTCCCATTTGTCCTCTCCCCAAATCCCTGAAGCTGAAGTTCCTTTCACCCAAGTTCATGGAGCCAGTTTGGATGGACAGGACTCATCCCTACCTATGCAAGGACTGTACAAACCCAAAGCTCCCAGAGGCCTTGGGGAGGTGGCCAGGAACCAATTCATGGGGCTGACCTTTAGTCTTAAGCGAGAGTCTGAAGTTATAAATCAAGGATTGAGTTAACCTATAAACTGAATTTCTGGACATGCCTCAATTGTACTGACTTTTGCAAAGACCACCTCAAAGCCCAATTCTTATTTCATGAAACATAACTAGACTTCTCTTTTGACCTCAATTCCAGGCATCATTAACATCCCCCTTCTCCATGTTCCCACAGCACATGTGTGTGTGTGGGTGTGTGGGCATGTGCATGCATTTGTGTATACATGTGTGTCTGTCTATATTATGGCACACAGCACAATCAATATTGTGTAAGGATTACAAATAATGAGGGATGTTTTAATAGCCTGGCTCTAGAATCACAAAGATTTGGGTACAAGTCCCTGCTCTGTCCCTCAGCAGCTCTGTGACCTTAAGCAAGTTACTTGACTTTCAGAGCCTCAGTTTCATCAATAGTAAAATGAGAATTAATATATTTCCTACCTAGTAGAGCTTCTCAAAGGGGTAATTCATGCAAAGCACTCAGCCCAGGGACTGGCTCGCAGTAAGCACTCAGTAAACCATAGCTGTTGTTAGTCTCTGTCTCCCTAAAGGGAGTGTGAGCTTCCTGGAGGTAAGCACCATTCTATAAACACCTTCATTTCCACCAAGTACCTAGCACAGTGCTTAATAAATAAGAGTGTTGAATAAAAAATGCATGACACTGAAGAATAAAGGAAGATAAAGGCCTGGCGAATGCAATCTCCACCGTGAGAGCTTAACTGACTTTTAATTGAACATCTCTGGGGTTAAGCCCCAAAAGCCACGTGCCTGGGACCCCCACTGCCTCTGGATCCTGGTTCCCATGAGGAGGCAGGGTCTTGTGAGAAGAGCACAGCCAGGAAACCTGGGCTCCAGCCTCAGTTCTGCCACTCAGAGCCATGTGAGCCTATGCAAGTCCCTACAGCTGCTGTCAAGTGGCGACAATAGTGACTGTGAACACTGTCCTGGGCTTACACAGGTCTGTCACGAAGATTAAGTTTAAAAGCTGGATGCTAAAGCATCTCGAGCCATTGCATCCATCTGTTCTGTGATACCCTCAGAAGTTTTGCCTCTTGAATGGCCAACATTCCAACCTCCTCCACTCTAGACCCAGTTTTAACCAAGCCTCATGGGCATTCTTTAGCACACAGAACCTCAAGGATGCTTTAGATGCAGGCTCCAAGCTACATGTTCATTTTAAGAGTTCAAGTGAGAGTCCTCTTTGAGTGGGCCTTGGAAGGGAATGTGAACTTTCTATAGCTCCCTCATAATGCTGTTTTTGAACCCATTTTTCCTTCTTAGGATCACAACAACTGTTGCATGTAATATGGATCTGTCTAAATACCCCATGGACACACAGACATGCAAGTTGCAGCTGGAAAGCTGTAAGTACACATTCTACAGACTCCTGAGATGATTTCCTGGGTGACTTAGGTCTGTGTGTTCATGAAAAGTATCTCATACATAGTGACCTTTCTTTTCTTAATGTTGATTCACTGTGGATTCAACTCTTCTGACTGTGCTTCCAGATGGATTTAGAGACTTCTCAAAGACATGTCTAATGTTTTTGGGGAAGAACCATTATGCATTAGCATTATGTGGTAATGCATTATGCATTACCACATACCACCTACTGTGAGTGGACAAGAAAACCAAAGGAAATTCTTTAAAGTAGTTGGCGGTCTAGGCCAGGGGTCAGTAAACAACAGCCCGTTGCCAAATCCAGCCCATCACCTGTTTCTGCAAAGGAAGTTTTACTAAAGCACTGTCACGCCCATGCACTTACGTATTGTCTATGGCTACTTTTGCACTGCAGAGCCAGAGTTGAGTATTTGTGATAGAGACCAGATGACTCATAAAGCCTGAAGTATTAACAGTCTTCTTTGCTGCAGAGCTTTTAACAGACTCTAATAAGCTACTTCCACGTGAAATTCCAAGAAGGAGTGGTAGCACTTCTCAAACGTTTTAAACCATGGAATCTGCTTTCATGAGTGTTTTATGGGACAATCATTTTATAAAAAACATTTTGGTAACAACAAATCTACACTAGCCCCTGAGACCGAAACTTTTAACATTTAATTTATGTCCTCCATCAGGCTACGAACTCTCAAAGGGTCTATGATTCCAGATGAGTTCTACGGCCATGTCCTTTGCCACCCACCCGCCCTTACTCTCTAAGATCAAATCAGCCACAGGTCCCTGTAGAAGCTGATGGAAAAAGTCATGGAATTTTCATCAATATACTCTTCGTTTGTCAGCAAATATGTCCAAGGCTACCTTTTTAAGTCTAGAAAGCCTCAAAGGCTTTATTTTTTCTTTTTTCTATGCAAAGCACTGTGGTAACAAGAAAAACCTCACTCTCCATTGCAAAGGAAGTAGAGAGGCTAGTGGGGAAAGACTTCCTGGAGAAGGCAACAAAATGTGCTTTATGGCCTCAATCTGCTGTTGCCCCAGTCTCCTTGACCAAACAACTTTTTTATTAACAATAATAGTAATAATAATAGTAATAAATGGGCCGGGCACAGTGGCTTACGCCTGTAAACCCAGAACTTTGGGAGGCCAAGATGGATGGATCAATTGAGGTCCGAAGTTCAAGACCAGCCTGGCCAACATGGTAAAACTCCATCTCTACTAAAAATACAAAAATTAGCTGGGTATGGTAGCCCATGTCTGTAATCTCAGCCACTTGGGAGGCCGAGGCAGGAGAATCACTTGAACCTGGGAGGTGGAGGTTGCGGTGAGCCAAGATCATGCCACTGCACTCCAGCCTGGGCAACAAGAGCGACACTCCATCTCAAAATGAAAAAAAAAGTAATAAAAATTATTTTCCCAATAAGTACTGCAGCATCCACTTACCAATGGCTTAATCCATGTCTGGCACTATACTAGAAACCTTCCAAACAACGCTGAGAGATATATTTTGTTTTTCCCATCTTTCAGATAGAGAAATTGAGGCTCATTAGGATTTGGTAATTTTCCCAAGGGAAAGTTAGGTAGCCACACTGGGACTTGAACCTAGGTAGAATCGGCCCAAGGTCCAAAGTTCCCTGAACTCTAGTAGCCCTTCCACTGAGCTGGAGAGTCACATAGGGAGTTTGTTCCCGTGGTTTGTTAGTGATCTGAGCTGCTTATTTTTCCTGAGTATACATAAAGTGCTTTTAAACAGTAATATGGGGATAATGAAAATCTTTTAATAACTCCTTTCCAGTTTCTCCAGTGTCCATTTATTATCATCGTTCCCCAAATTGAGTCACCATGTGATGCTTTTGTTGGATTCCCCAAATCCTGCCAGAATGTTCAACTGAATTGCAACCTGATTACCACACAGTGGTCCCAGACGTATAGTCCTTTCTGTGTATGCTAAGGAAAGTCTTTTTTCTCATTTTAACACTTTAGTTTTATATATTGTCCCACTAAAGTCTCCAGCCAGTCTGGATGGCTGGTTGGGTTCCATCTGTATATCCTCATTTAAATACATTCAATACATCCATTCAACCATTAAATGACTATTCTACCTGAGGTACTGCGGTAGATATTTGCAACGCACAGACAAAAGCAATGGGTGTGGCGCAGTGGGTCATGCCTGTAATCCCAGAACTTTGGGAGTCCAAGGCTGGTGAATCATGAGGTCAGGAGTTTGAGACCAGCCTGGCTAACATGGTGAAAACCTGTCTGTACTAAAAATACAAAAAAATTAGCCAGGCACGGTGACAGGTGCCTGTAATCCCAGCTACTTGGGAGGCTGAGGCAGGAGAATTGTTTGAATCCAGGAGGCAGATGTTGCAGTGAGCCAAGATTGTGCCACTGCATTCCAGCCTGGACGACAGGGCGAGACTCTGTCTCAAAAAATTAAAAAAAAAAAAAAAAAGCAATGTTCCAGTCTTCAAGAACTCTACAGTCCAGTAGAGGGTATGGGATTTTAAATAATTATAACAAAATGAGTTACAACAATGAAAAGTAATGGGGTGTCAGAGTTTTCCTAGGGAAAGTGTCATTTGGAATAAGACATAGGGGATCAGCTAGAATGCACCAAAAGGACAAGGAGTAAGACTCAGAATCTGCTAAGATGCAGATTATGTACAAGAAGGAACACAGCAGAAGAAATGGCAAATATGCAAAACCATCCTTGACATTTATCACTCATGCTTCCAACTTTTAAAAGAAATTGCTTGATAGATATGAAGCTCATACAATCATGCCAGTAAATGGGCACCTAAGCTATAATCTGGGGATTTGCCTGTGATGAAGAATGAGGTTTTAACTCTAAGTTGATGTGTGATGAATCAACTCCCTAGTGTTGTTAAGTGATCTCCATTGTCCCTTAGTAAACCACTCCAAAATGCCAGCCAAACGTGGGCACCTGTGATAGGCAAACAACATTGCAGCTATGATTTATGAAGGCGTCAGGCAGGGCTTGTGTGTGAAGGGAGGAAGGATGGTCAAGCTGTGAGAGCAGTGGACACTCCTTACATAAGGTCACAAGCGGGCAACATCTGAGAAGCACAACCATTATGAGGCAGAAGCCATTTTTCAGAAGCGGACATTTAATTAAAGACTCAGACAAACAGATTAATTATCTTATTGATTAAATGCATGCAGAATCTTCTTGAAGCAATACAGCTGTTTGGTGGCAGAATAAAACTTGAGGTTATCAAAAAGAGAACTCATTTTCAGTCCCACATGGAAAAAGCAATTACCCTTCATATATCGTGGCTGGGCTCATCTCAAATCCCAGGCGATTCTCCTGGAAACTTCAGCCTCTGTTTCACAAATATCCCCAGTGAGCAGAGGGAGCTTTCTCTGCATGTTTATTAGCAGTGTTTGGGTACAGAAACCTCACTATGGGTTTTTTTCTAAGTGCCATCTCTAGAAAAGAACTGACACCATCCCACAGTTTTCCTTATTCACCCAGGGACAGAGAGACCATAATGTAATGGTTGTAAGCATTTACTAGTTGTAAAGGCAGAGGGTCCGGGTAGAAGTTTGTACTACCCACTTTCATAGATTTTTTTTTTTTTAATGTGGGATGGTAGCCGTATTTAGACACCTGGCTTTAGTACATGTTTGGATGCTTCCAAGGGAAAGTCCACAGATAATTTTTACCTGGAAATTCCCTAAGAGTTCATGACTATATTTCTCTTCCCTGGGGAGAGAGAGATAAACCTTGTTAGACAATGGATACCATACAGTGAGACTTAACAAAATGTTAGTTCCAACACTGGCATCACATTTCCTGGTAGGCTTATAGCTTTGTGTTTAAGATCACAAGTACTGAAGTCACTGGGTTTTGCCATCACTAGCCCTGTGACTCCAGGTAAGTAACCAATGTCTCTGGATCTCAGTTTCCTATCAGTAAAGTGGGAAGGATAATAGTATCTGACTCAGAGTTGTTTTTTAACAGCTTTATTGAGGTATAACTTATATACCATAAAGTTCACCTATTTTAAGCGTCCAAGTCAAAGATTTTTAGTATATTTCCAAGTAGTGCAAATATCACCATATGCCATCGTTAGAATATTTTCATTTCCCCAAAGACACCCCTTGTACCCCTCTGTAACCACGCCTCTTCCCCATCACCAGCTCCCAGACAATGACTAACCTACTTCCTGTCTGTTGAATTTGCCTTTTCTTGATATTATATAAATGGAATCACGCACTATGTGGTTTTCTGTTGTTGTTGTTGTTTGAGATAGAGTTTTGCTCTTGTTGCCCAGGCTAGAGTGCAATGGCATGATCTAGGCTCACTGCAACCTCCACTTCCCAGGTTCAAGTGATTCTCCTACCTCAGCATCCCCAGTAGTTGGTGCGTGCTGCCACACCCAGCTAATTTTTGTACTTTTAGTAGAGACAGGGTTTCACCATGTTGGTCAGGCTGGTCTCAAACTCCTGACCTCAGGTGATTCACCTGCCTCAGCCTCCCAAAATGCTGGGATTACAGGCAGGAGCCACCACGCCTAGCCCTATGTGGTCTTATGCTTCTGGTTTCTTTCACTTAGCATGTTTTTGAGGCTCACACATGTTATGGCATGCATCAGTGCTTCATTCCTTTTTATTACTGAGTAGTTATCTCTTTGTATGCATATATATATTTTTTTTTTCATGTGAGATATATATATATATATATATGTCACATTTTCTTTATTGATTCATCAGTTGATGGACATTCGGTTTCCACCTTTGGGTTATTATGAGTACTACTGTGAACACTGGTGTGCCACTCTTTGTGTGGACATGATTTCATTTCTCTTGGACAGGTACCTAGGAGTGGAATGCTGGGTCAAATGGCAAATTTAGATTTAAGCTTTTAAGAAATTATCACCCTGTTACTGTTTCCCAAAGTGGTTGTACTACTTTACATTCCCGCTAGCTAGCATTCCCGCTTCTCCACGTGCTGGCCTTTGTTATTGTCTGTCTTTCTTACTGCTGCCATTCTAATGGGTGTGAGGTGTTTTCTTGCGGTTTTGATTTGCATTTCTCTAATGGCCAGTGATGCTGAGCATCTTTTCGTTTGCTTTCGAACCATTCATATATCTTCTTAAAGAGATATAGTGAGGGTTAAATGAGATGATAGTGTTGTAAAGCACTTGGAAATGCAATTGCTTATTAAATGTTAGATATTATCATCATCACTCATAGATTTGGGATTAAATTTTTCTAAGGTCACTTTGTATATTGCTCGCTTTGTTATCCTGAGAAAGTTATGCAACCCCTCTGAATATGAGAGTTTTCAAGAATAATGTGGGAAAATCATTATAGTTACTTTGTTCTATGGAACAGCACTTATTGAATAATAACATTTTAGGAAAAAGTATAAGCTCTGATATATATATAAATATGTTTAAACACTATTATGTATATTATATATATATATATAAATCAATTGTAACATCCATTTCAATTTCATAAAGTGTAAAGAAATGTCCATCTTAGAACTGAAGAAATATAGAAATGGCTAACTTGCAAGTTTACAAGAACATTAATGACATAATGTATGAAGTACCTATAAATATTCAAAAGGTAACTATTGTTACTATTATCAACTATATTCATTAAACTGCTTTGAGATTTATCTAATATACGTATTTACAGACTTTAATAAAGCAGGCTTTTTGGTTTTGTATTTATGCCAATATGGAAATATGAACAGATTAGTTCTTAAGTTCCTGAAAATATCATCAGAGCTATTATACAATCTTGAAAGGCAGTATCTTTGCATGTTCACAGATATGTGCTTAATAAATATAATTTAAATAATGAGGGAGGCCACGTCTAATGACTTATCATCCACCAGATCTACACAATACACCTAACACAGGACCAGTTCTCAACTGATGGCAAATCGTCCTGGAAGGTCACTTCATTCAGAGCAGACATTGCAATTACACTTGAGAAATCATGACACGTTTTGCATGGGATTGTTCTTGGACTTATCACCATGAAGAAAGAGCTCACGCTGTTTCCACATTATAGCATTTTCCAGACCAGTTCAATCTGGAACACCCTTGCACTGACCAGACCTCCGTTTTATTTGCCAGGGGGCTATGATGGAAATGACGTCGAGTTTACCTGGCTGAGAGGGAACGACTCTGTGCGTGGGCTGGAACACCTGCGGCTTGCTCAGTACACCATACAGCGGTATTTCACCTTAGTCACCAGATCGCAGCAGGAGACAGGTAACTCATGTGACAAACTGTATGAAATAAAAATAAGTGAGCCAAGGTGTAGGTTTGCTCTCTGAGTCAGAAATATCATCTTCTCACTTTACTTCTGTGGGATGCAGTGGAGCGGGACAGTAGAATTTGGGCTGAGCAATTCCACCTGCTCCACACACAGTATTAAAATGGTCCACTGAGGAACAGACCTCTGAACCAGCTCTGAAGCCTTGCACTATGTATCTCCAGATATTTTCTAATGATTGCTTAAATTCCATGCCTCCCCCATGCATAAAATTTATTCCTGTTTCTAACTGGAGCACTGGTTCTCTGACACTGAAGAGTACAAATAAGAATACAGCTCAAAGATGTAGAAGACAGCAGCAATGCCCAACAAGAGCATGACCACCCTAATTATTGCAAAGGTGGCTGTAAGTATTATTTATTCATTTCATTTACCAGAAATGCATCTCTTGGTCTTTGGTGATTTTAGATAGATATTTTTTGAAAGATGTGATGTTATATATAAGCAGCGGCATTTTCTTCTCACTTCCTTATGATAATATTAAGAACACTTAGTCTCATCAATATTTGCACCCTAACAAATTACTGTGTGTTTTATTATATTTATTTATTTATTTGAGATAGAGTCTTACTTTGTTGCCCACGCTGGAGTGCAATGGCGTGATCTCAGCTCACTGCAACCTTCGCCTCCCAGGTTCAAGGAATTCTTGCGCTTCATCCTCCTGAGTAGCTGGGATTACAGGCATGCTCCACTACGCCTGGCTAATCTTTGTATTTTTGGTAGAGATGGGGTTTTGTCATATTGGCCAGGCTGATCTCAAACTCCTGGCCTTAAGTGATCTGCCCACCTTGGCCTCCCAAAATGCTGGGATTACAGGCGTGAGCCACTGCACCCAGCCTACTGTGTATTTTAGTTGAGCCTAGATGACATTAAAAATCATATGTCACACTAAGATCATAGCTACATGAAAATTAGAAATTAAAGGCTATGCATAGAGAAAAGACTTGAATGGAAGGAAAGATGATTTCCCCCAATTTTTTTATTTTCCAAATTTTTGTTTTCATTCTTCTTTTTTTTTTTTTTCTTTTTTGAGATAGTGTCTCACTCTAGTGTCTCCTAGGCTGGAGTACAGTGGCACAATCTCAGCTCACTGCAAACTCCACCTTCTGGCCTCAAGTGATCCGTCCACCTCAGTCTCCCTGGTAGCTGGGACTACAGGTGTGTACAATCACGCCTGGGTAATTTTTTGTATTTTTTGTAGAGATGAGGTTTCACCATGTTTCCCAGGTTGGTCTTGAACTCCTGAGCTCCAGCAATTCGCCTGCCTTAGCCTCCCAAAGTGCTGGGATTACAGACATGAGCCACCAAGCCTGGCCTTATTTTCCAAATTTTAAATAATTATCATGTGTTATTTTTATAATGGGCAAATAAATACACTTTAAAGACAAGTTTGTAAATTAGGGCTATGCTGTCATAGTTTATCAAAACTGGATTCCCAAGTTGAGTTCATATGAAGAAACGGCTTCAGTTTTCAAAATTATTTAATCTCATGTAGCACGTAATGACTCTCTTTAGGCACAAAATATCCACTTTAGGTACTAAAGAGGGTCATTATTTAGTCAAATATTGATTCTAAGGTTTGCTTGTTTGTTTTTAAAACACTGACTTCCAAAATCAAGGAAATAAAGCAAGCAGTGTAGACTGATAAAACACCCCTGGTCCAATGGGCAAAAGACCTGGTTTTTATTCTTTCTTCTAACATCAACTCAAGGTCCTTTTCAAATCACTAAAACTCCCTGTGTCTCAATTTACCCATCCATAAAGTAAAATAATAAGTAATCACTAGGGTCCCATCAAGCTCTAAAAGTACATATTTTTATTCTCTACTATATTTCTCCAGGCATATCTGTTGTTTAGCTAATTAATGGCATAATTTCTTTTTTTTTTTTTTTTTTGAGACAGAGTTTCACTCATGTTACCCAGGCTGGAGTGCAATGGTGCCATCTCGACTCACTGCAACCTCCGCCTCCCAGGTTCAGGCAATTCTCCTGCCTCAGCCTCCTGAGTAGCTGGGATTACAGGCACGCACCACCATGTCCAGCTAATTTTTTTTGTATTTTTAGTAGAGACGGGGTTTCACCATGTTGACCAGGATGGTCTCGATCTCTTGACCTCGTGATCCACCCGCCTCGGCCTCCCAAAGTGCTGGGATTACAGGCTTGAGCCACCGAGCCCGGCCCAAATGGCATAATTTCTAATTTTAGGCTTTAATTTGGGGATGACAGGAGGTTGGAGCAGATCCCATTCACTAATCTGTTTTTCCCCAGTGCCATCTAAGCCAGACTTTTCCTGTTCCCAGAGGATAATAACCTCTTCTTTCCTCCATCGACCCCAATGCTGGCCACTACTGCTCACCTCCCCATAACAGAAGCACAGCAGGACCAGAGCTTGAGATGGGACTCTAACCCATGGATATATGTGTGCTACAGTAGCCTATTTTCCACACAGAATTCTGCTAATGATAGCCCTCCATCACATGCCTTTCCCACATCTAGAATACACTGCTAGTTTCCTAAGGGTGGCCCTGAAGTAGTGTAAAATCTGGGGTGCCTCTGAAATAATCAAAAATTCATTTATATTTAATAGGTCCATTAGGTCTACTCCATAGCATTCCTTGAGAAACAGATGGTCCCAGGTAATCTTCATTAGATAGGTATTTATTGAACAACTACTTTGTGAGTGCAGAACTGAAAGATTCAGTGTTTGCCCCCAAGGGACTCGCTGTCTAGTGAGGCAGATATCAAGAAAACCAGTATTGGTTGCACTGCTGTAGGAATACTATGTTACAGAAAAGCCCAAGATAGACCTGACTCGGAGCAGAGCCCCTATAAATGCCATTCAGTGCAACAGCAATGTCTCCTGTGGAAATCATAATGACAGCTCATACATAACTAGATTTTGATCAATGACAGAGGGCCTAATGTGCGTATAGCTGAGTTAAGCATCCCGTAGAGAAACCACTTGCTACGTGAACAGACATGATTTCCTATCCATTGTTTACCCTAACAGGAAATTACACTAGATTGGTCTTACAATTTGAGCTTCGGAGGAATGTTCTGTATTTCATTTTGGAAACCTACGTTCCTTCCACTTTCCTGGTGGTGTTGTCCTGGGTTTCATTTTGGATCTCCCTCGATTCAGTGCCTGCAAGAACCTGCATTGGTAAGCAGTCCAACAGGAGATTTCTAAGAACTGGCTTATCAGGTACTTAGTTTTTTTTCCTTTTACCATTGTCTTCATTGACATTCCTAAGGCAGTTCCAAGAGTTAGTTTCTTGGGAGATTCTTCTACAGAGAAAGAAAGAGGCAGAAACAGATTACTTCAGGAGTAGTGTTGCTGTTGTTGTTGTTGTTGTTGTGATGGAATTTCACTCTTGTCACCCAGACTGGAGTGTAGTGGTTCCATCTCAGCTCACTGCAACCACCTTCCAGGTTCAAGCAATTCTCCTGCCTCAGCCTCCCTGGTAGCTGGGACTACAGGCGTGCGCCATCATGCCTGGCTTATTTTTGTATTTTTAGTAGAGATGGGGTTTCACCATGTTGCCCAGGCTGGTCCTGAGCTCCTGACCTCAAGTGAATGATCCACTCACCTTAGCCTGGGATTATAGGGGTGAGTCACCACACCCTGACAGGAGTGGTACATTTTTAAACTTATGTTTTACAGTGACAAGTAAGGGATCATTGTGCTTAGATGGTCCTATTGTCAGTTATTTTGCAAACTGACCACACCCTCCCAGGAGAAGACAGAACATGAAACATTTTTTTAAAAACCACATCACTCATTTTTGTACAAAATGAACAAATCAACCCTATTTTAGAAGGTCACAGACTTTTCAAAATGAGATGCATTCCATTTCTGGGTCTTGTTCTTAACCTGCCTGTTTTGAATGGGGACACTCTGCCAGGCTATGGTGAAGGGCTAACCAGTCACTTTGTAGGAACATTCCCTGCCTGTTTTCCCAGGAGTGACGACCGTGTTATCAATGACCACACTGATGATCGGGTCCCGCACTTCTCTTCCCAACACCAACTGCTTCATAAAGGCCATCGATGTGTACCTGGGGATCTGCTTTAGCTTTGTGTTTGGGGCCTTGCTGGAATACGCAGTTGCTCACTACACTTCCTTACAGCAGATGGCAGCCAAAGATAGGGTAAGAGTCTTGAGGGCCCTGTGTATGATCCATCACTGGTGCCGTGTGCTGGCTCTGTGGACGTGGCCTGGACCTGGCTCCTATCCCCACCCACCCCCAGTGATTCCCTGTGCTCCAGTGAGTCTTATCCTCATTCAGATGGGAGCAGCTGGAAGTCATGGTGCCCCTTGAAAAAGACCATTCTTTTCACCAAATATAATGAGATATTAATATGTTCAATTTTCCAGCAGAAAATGTGTTATCTGTATGCAGCATAAAATCACAACCATGGGAGCAAGCATCCATGAAGAATCCAATATGAAACAAAACAAAACATGATCAGCTGCTTGCAAGTTTCAGATTAATATATATTTACTATTTAATTCTTTTGTTGCATTATTATATTCTTAAATTGTACAAGTAATGGTTTACTGAAAAAATGTGCAGAAAATATTAGATTGTGACAAATTTCTTGGTTAGCATATTTTTCTGCTAATTGAGAAAAACTGCCATTATTTGGTTTAGCAGTGGAACACTGTAGTCCAGCTCTCTAAATAGTAATAATGGCCATTATTTGTCAAGCATTTACATGTGCCAGATACAGTAACAAGCCTTTCCCAAGTATTATATCATTTTAAATGCACATAAGAACCCAATAAGGTTATCTCCCTTTTTAAATTTATGAAATCTGAGAACAAGAAGGGAAACGGACTTACCCCAGGGGATACAGATAGTAACAGGTAGAGCTGGGATTCCAACCTAAACCTCCTTGGTGTTAAAGTCTGGCACTTATTCGTTATTTCCACTTGCAATGGGCATTGGACCATGCTCTTAACTACCACTCTTTACAGGTCCATGGACCCCTAGTGTTACCTGGAAGCCAAATTTGATGGATATTGGCATACTAACGCTCATGCTAACAAGCAAGCAAACGATAGGGATCCAGTTCAGAAGAGGTGCCCACCTTTAGCAAAGTGCTAAAGGGTCTAATAGTGAAGAACGGGGAATCAGAATGACCCAAAGACCCATCTGCTTTTTCCCTTATGTTTGGCTACCGTGAGCAATGTTTCACAGTCATGTCATCCAAGCACCAAAGGCAAATGACCATGTGTGCCAGCCAAAGAGGAACGTGGCTTGCGTTTCTTTTGCTTCCTCATGAGGAAGGAAGGAAGTTGAATTACCTCCCCACCCCCCCCCCCAAAAAAAATCTTGATTTGCTAGATTGGCAAAATGGAGATTGGTGAAATAAGGACAGCCTCCTCTGACGACACCAGAAAGTCCTTATTTTGCTGTGTATATGATAATCGCTGCACTACAAAGTACTCACTGTGACCTAAACACCCATCAACATCTCCTTTAGTTCCTCTAACAACCAGATGAAATGAGTACCATTATGATCCCAATTTTACTCTTGAGAAATCTGCCACTCCCTGATGTGGCAGATTTCTCAAGGGTAAAATTGGGATCATAATGGTACTCATTTCATTGTCCTATACAGTGATATGGTAACTCCCATAAGAACCCACACCTAGCAAGTGGCCGGGCCAAGGGTCCAAACCGCACCCTCTCTGACTTCACTACACTCCCACATTCTTGAGAGTTGACCCCAGCCATGCTGGAGAATGACAACTCCTTGCAATTGCAGGGAGCATCACTATTTCTGCTTTTGTGACAAAGCCTTTAAGACACAGCTGATTTCTATCTTCTCTCAGAATCAGTAGTAACTTCTCCCTGGAATAGGACTGAATTCATCAAACACCTCCCAGATGCTTTCCATTTTTTACCATTTGCTCTTCCCATCAGTCTCAAGATGGTAATATCCATCACCATTTGGCAGGCAAGGAAATCAAGTCTTACAGGGATTGAGGTGACTAAAGTTTCACGAAAGTGACAGGCCGAATGGAATTGAACCCAGGTTCGCTAACTTCAAAGCCTGGGCATTTCGCATCTGGTACACTGCTCAGCATATCCACAGTGGGTCATGGTTACTCCTTCTGTTGCACATGCTGGTGACTTACAAATAAATGTCTCCAAACAGAGTAACAGGACTCCAAGTCTGGCTTATTGGCCAATTTCTGAAGCACTCAATGCCACTCTTTATTAAGCCTAATTATTCTATACTTAGGCCTCTAACCTTTTTGTTAGCTCATTACCTACTTATTTATTTTGCTGAGTCAAGTCTTTTAAGCTAACGTCATTGTCTATGAACTAGGGGACAACGAAGGCAGTGGAAGAAGTCAGTATTACTAACATCATCAACAGCTCCATCTCCAGCTTTAAACGAAAGATCAGCTTTGCCAGCATTGAAATTTCCAGCGACAAGGTTGACTACAGTGACTTGACAATGAAAACCAGAGACAAGTTCAAGTTTGTCTTCCGAGAAAAGATGGGCAGAATCGTTGATTATTTCACAATTCAAAATCCCAGTAATGTTGATCGGTATTCCAAACTACTGTTCCCTTTGATTTTTATGCTAGCCAATGTATTTTACTGGGCATACTACATGTATTTTTGAGTTGATGGTAAATTTCTTGCATGCAATAGGTCTTCAACAGGACAAGATAATGATGTAAATGGTATTCTAGGCCAAGTGTGCACCCACATTCAATGGTGCTACTAAAATAATATTTTGGCCTTTCTGTTCAAAGGATGGACCCCCAACCATTGTTCTAAGCTGTGTAGAAGTCCTAGCATTACAGGATCTTGTAATAGAAACATCAGTCCATTCCTCTTTCGTTTTAACCAAAGACATCCCCATGGAGCCCAAGATTACAAATGTACTCAGGGCTATTTACTCGGTGGCTCCCTGGTTTGCATTTACCTCATATAAAGACTGGAAAGGAGACCATTGGGTAACCCTCAAGTGTCAAAAGTTGTTTCTAAAGTAATCATACATGTTATTTACTAAATATCTGCAGTGCTTGTAAAATACATGGTTACCTATTTAGGGAGTAACATTTTCTAGTTTTTGTTTCTGGTTAAAACGAAATATGGGCTTATGTCAATTCACTGGATTTCAGTGCACTAACTCAATACCAAGATGAGTTTTTAAATAATGAATATTATTTAATACCACAACAGAATTATCCCCAACTTCCAATAAGTTCTATCATTGAAAATTCACATGTAGGTGAAGAAATAGTAGATCAATAATCTAAATAAATCCCTTGGTTCTAAGATACAATGGATTCCCCACACTGGAAGGACTCTGAAGCTTTATTCCCCCATTATATATATCTTATCATTTTATTATTATACGTACATACATCCTAAACAACATCCATCCTAAACAATATTAAAGCCCTTTTCCCACGTCATGGATGGAAATGGAATTTTTTTTTTTTTTTTT